TATGGTGATGACCCTATAGTATTAACTGATCTTAAAAGTGAACTGGACTATGTAAAGGATCTCATGGAGAGACGTGCAATAGAAGAAACAACTTTCACCGAAGGAAATGATGGTACAGTGAACATTTCAGGTCCATCAGGAAGCATAACTGTCCCAGAAGTCAACTTTGTGGAAGACCCAAACAATGTACTTCCAGATGTGCTAGATGCATTCAACGAATCATTTGAAGCTGACTGGGATGAAATAGAAGCCCGCCTAGAGAAACTGAAAAAGTTCTCAGAAGACCGACTCACAGCAAATAAAAAGAGAGATTTTGAAAACCAAGTGGAGCGTGTTCAAGCTGTCGCGAGAGTTATCAAGGGTAAGGAGGGACTAGTACTAGACCCAAAGAATAAATATGTCAGGGAACTCATAAAACGATCATCTGTAAGAACACTCGTGGATGGTATAGAGGTGTTGGTATTTAGAAGTGAACAGGGTATTGATAAAAGTGGGACACAAATAATGAAACGTGGTAAGACCAGTAAACCTGTGTACTCAAAGGACTCACCTGCACTGAGAGAATATAAGGAACTTCTAAAGAAAATAAAAGAGGTACCTACGGATCCCGACAATATAATTGGAAGTGATGAATCAATTCATGAGGATACTAAAGAAGAGCCGCAATTTGATGAAGCTGAGGAATACGTTGACCGTGAGAACATTGAGTTAATAGACATAAGTGCAAAACTAGGAGACCTTCCAGGGCTAACAATGCAAGAAAACAATGAACTGAGAGGTGTTCTTAACCCACCTGATGGATCAAGTATAGAAGGCAGAACAGGTCCCAATGGAGCGCTGCAAATACAAGCGGACTACTTTAATGAAGCTATTGGTGAAACCGTGGAACGCTCCACCTCTGCGGAAGGTACAACTGAGTATAATTCCCTTATAGAAAGAATTGACAGTTTGAAGGAAGCTAGAGATCGAACCCTAGAACAGAGAACAATAGAGGAAGCAAGAGAGGCACAACTGAAGGACATTTCTAGATTACGCAGATTTATAGACTGGGTAGGAAAGGAGAAAGTGGGACTTGCAGGTATAGCAGTGTCAACAGCAGGTTTAATTACAGCCTTATTGATCCATGCCAGGGGAGCCCTTGTGAAAACAGGAAAGGCCACTGGTAAGGTAGCAAAAGCACTAGCAAATTTAGCAAAGAAAGCAGGACCAATTCTTCTTCCAATCCTGAATGCAATTGGAACTGCGCTGTCATGGGGAGCAAAAGGAGTTGCCTGGCTAGCATCAAACTTATGGGTACTAGTTGTAGCAGCTGCCCTAATTATATATAACTATTATACTAAGTAAAGTATAAATGGCTGAAAGTGTTGAATACAAAGCAGCATGGATGGAAAGGGTAAGCACCATCCTTGATGAATACAGTAGTGAATATTCTGAGATCTGGGGAGGAGACTTCAGAGCTGAGGAACTAGATGAGCTAGATAGATTATACCCGAACTACAAGGAAATGGAACCTGAAGATATGGACTCTGAAATAGAAATTCTACGGAGGCGAATGGGAACAGAAGAATCAGATGAGAGAGAAGATATTCAAAGAGAAATTGAATATGTCAGCCAACTTAGAAGAATGAAGGTCTGGAAGAATTCAGAAACTGAGGCCTACCTAGACGCAACCCACAACACTCTCAAGGAAGAGGTGAAAACCCTAGTTGTACTTAAGAGAATAGCTAAGGCTGAAGTTAGAAGGAACAACTACTCAGAAAGAATAAACAGGTTGAAGGAAATTATAAAAAACTTAGGTTTCAATCCTAATGAGCCTGAGAAGGAGTTAGAAGTGGAGGAAGAAGAACGCAGGAAGGAAGAACCTGCGAAGAAGGAGGAAGAGGACCGAAGAAAGGCAGCTGAGTTGGAACGCAAGAGGCTCGCAGAAGCTGCTGAAATAGAACGCAAAAAGAATGCAGAAGCTGAGATTAAAAGGCGACTAGAATCCTTGAAAGATGATAAGGAGAAAACAGAGTATTGGAGAAAAAAGCTTGAAGAATGGGAGAAGGAAAAGTCTAAACCTGAGGAACCAAAGAAGTCTCAACCTGAGAAACCTAAGAAGTCTCAACCTGAGGAACTAAAAAAGCCTAGAGTTAAAGAACCTAAAAAACCTGAATTCAAGGAACCTAAGAAGGTAGACATAAGTGAGAAGTCTGAGGAGCCCGCAGGTCCTGACACTGAATGGGTAGATAATACTTACAACTTTGAGGGTCTTCTATTCCAAGTCGCAGAGGATAGTATCCCAGAAGACGATCAACCTATATTCAGTGGTGATAGCACAGAAACAATGGTGAAGGATGTTAGAAAAGATCTAACGAGGTATGAAAGATTCAAATCATGGGTTGAAGATAACTTCGGAGTTGTGATTGCAGGTATTATAATATCAGTTGCTGCTCTCCTTACAGCTGTCATCATACAGACCAGGAAACTTTCCTCAAAAGCAGCAAACTTTTCAAATAAAGGTTCAGGTTCAGATTCACAACCAAGACCACTCCCTGATGTAGCAAACAAACTAATTAAATTCATATCATCAAACTTATGGAAAATAGCAATAGCTGTAGGAATAGCCTTATACGTTTATAACTAAACATTACATATTGTATAAAGCATGAATACCACAGAAAGAGAACTCCAACCTGGCTTCAGGAGAAGCCGTATGACGTCCATAAAAGGACTTAGAACTAGAAGCGTTGTAACTTTCAATCCAACAACAATTAGCCCAGGAGAAGAGCTGTATATTAACATCCCTAAATTAAAGCCTGACTCTTGTTTAGTTCCAGGGTCACTTGCACTATTATTTGACTTCAAAAATTCCAATACAAAGAGCAGGTTCAATAATAACCTAGCCAAGTTGATTGTAAAACGTCTTCAGATTAAAGTAGCAGGTGAAACAGCTTATGACTGTTCAGGAGAGAGTTTGTATGAAATATACAAAGATCTATGGCTAACACAGGGTGACAGAAATAAGATGACAGAACAGGGTCTCGCAAGTGAAAACCTAAGAAAGCTAATATCAGGTGACGACTCAGGAGTAAAAGTTGGTGATGCAGGTAAAATAGCAGATGGACTTCTCCATAGTGTGTACGGCTCTAAACTTAGAAAACCAATTGATAAGATTATTGCAGACCATGGACTCTACGTACCATTCTACATGAATAATAATCCTATGTACATATTTACACTCCCGCAATCAGATGAGATTATGACTGCACAAGGAGGTGAAGCTAAGGGTAATTATAAACTTGACAATCTTGAGTTAGAATATGAGACCATTGAGAATGACACCCTTGCAGGTGAAGTATCAAGGATGTATTCAACAGGCCGCTCACTGTCTTACAAACATGTCACACTAATGCGTACAAGTAATTGGGACAAGGATCTTACCATTGTCAATGAAAACATAAATATCCCCAGAAAGAGCATGTCAGCAATTGTCCTTCTATTTACCAACAGAGCAAGAACTGATTCTGAAGAATATATTTACCCAAACATTGATAAAGTGAACCTTACCATTGAGGGTGTGCCTAATGCAGTCTTTTCCCAAGGACTTCCTAAAAGTAGGTTCTTTGAAGAGGCAAAACGATTCTTTTGTCCTATGTGTGAGAAATCCATGGCAGACGAATTTATGTCCATCAGCAGGTTCTTCAGCAATGGTTTCGCCCTAGTAGTAGATCTAAGGTCAACACAGGATGACACCACTGGAGGAGGTAGAAAGATTGTTAACACACAGTCTGGAGTACTTATGGAAATTAATAAGAGAGCCACAACAGCAGATGTTCAGTGCAACATTTTTATTGTATCAGATGCTCTACTTAACTTTGCTAGTAGAGATCTATCAAGTATTCAATACTAACGGTAAAGCATAGAGATGAATCTAGAGCCGACATTTAATATGCTCATAGTAGGAATGACTGGAAGTGGTAAGACTCAGTTCTTACTTAATATGTTAGAAACAGAATACAATAAAGTTTTTGATTATATTGTTATTATATGTCCAACAATAGAATGGAATATGACTTATATTAATTGGGCTCATATTAGTGACCACGGAGTCATACAAATTCCATGTTCCCAGGAAATGATCAATCTTATTCTCAAGGCAGTGTCCACCGTATTCCGCGGAACCCAGACTCTCATTATAGTGGACGATTGTGCTGCAAGTCAAGATGTAAAGAAAAGAGTCTCAGAACTGGTGCGCCTAGCATTCTCCGCAAGACATTACAATATATCTGTCACTGTAATTACCCAACAACTGTCATCAGTAACAAAGCCATTCAGGGAGAACATTTCCAGGTTAGTTACATTTTATAACCCTAGTCGCAGAGATATGAAGGTCATAACGGATGATTACCTAAGTGGTGTTCCTCAGGAGACAATCATGGAGATTACAAAAATACTAAAAGATGAGAAGTTCACCGCATTAGATATACTCCTCATTCACCCTTACACATACACTATTAAACTAAACACCGCGTAATATATAGAGGATGGGATCAGAATCTGACGAAGAAATATCCGGAGCTGTGAGAGAAGTAGAGGAGGCCGCAAAGGCGCCGCAAAGAAAAGCTAAGTCTACCGCAACAAAAACTAAGCCCACCGCAGATAAGTCGCAAACTGAACACAAAAGGAATAAGCTTATCGAGCTATCTAAGGATGGTGTAATTGATAAGACCGCAGGTTTCATAAGAAAGTCCAACAAAGATGTTGTGGATAGACTTTACAGTGAGTATGAAAGTCAGAGGATGTCATGCGCAAGTGACTTTTTATCAACACTTATTATCTCAAAGTTTGCTTCCATACTGGGAAGTTTTGGTGCAGTGGAATCTTCTGAGAAGCTGTCAGAGGAACTACTTAGTGATAAGCTTTTAAAGGATGACGTATGTTATTTAACTAGAACGATATCCCCAAACATCCCATTCATAGGTCTCATATCAGGTGGATGCACAACAGCTAAGCACGTGGTTGCTCACAAGTGGAATAAGAAGGAAAAGACTGAGGAAATATCCGAGGAAGCAAAACATATCTTATTACATAGTGAAGAAGAATGCCTCAACTCGGAGAGCCGTACGATTGGGGAAACGCCTGGGAAGGAACCGAATTTGAAGACATAATTAATGAACTGATTGAGAAAACTAACGCTAGCAATGAGAGGCTGGATAAAATTCAGGAAACTTTGGACTCAATAGAGAAAGACTTATACGCACTTAGGAATAAGATCATACTACCCCTCCAGAATGACTTCTATAACTTTAAAGATGATACAGTTAAAACAGTAGTAAAGATATACAAGAACCTTCATGGAGTTTAGTATTTTATTTGCTGTAGGAAGTACGTAGTAAGCAGCTGGGTGGGAAGAGGGAATGCTGCTTCATAAATCAAAATAAAATAGCCATAAAATAGGCCCAAAAATTTTTACATATATAGTATAGGAAAAGATGGAAAAACTATTCAGAAACCAGAAGTTGAATGTTAGCGTAAGAACTGTAAAGAGTGGTGAGGAGGTACTGTTTTATGGAAAAGATGTGGCAGAATCTCTTGGGTACTCGAACACTAAAAAAGCAATTCAAACTCACGTCTGGAAGATAAATAAGTTAACACTTGGAGAACTTAGAAGGGGACCCAACTTGGGTCCCCTTATAGATGGTCACCCAGATTCTGTTTTTCTAAGAGAACCTGGTTTGTACCAACTAATATTCAACTCGAGACTCCCAATAGCAGAAGCGTTCCAGAATTGGGTATTTACTGAAGTCCTCCCATCTATCCGTAAAACGGGATCTTATAACTTACCAGATAAAAGGTCACTTAGGTACAACCAAATAATCCTTCTAAACGAAACGGACCTTCATCACGCAGTTGTGAGTTACATTAGAGATAACTACCCAAAGGCTGTAATAGTACCTGGTCTAGGTGAGTATCAGGATACAGTGTCAAAGAGATGTGATGCCTGGAAGAAGGGATATAAAGGTGGTCAACCAGATCTTATCATAGAGAATCCTATGAAAAAGTACAAAGGATTTGCTATTGAATTTAAGTCTCCCAAAGGCACTGGAGTTATAAGTGAGAAGCAGGATATATGGTTCAGGAAATTGAGGGGAATAGGGTACATGACAATGGTATCGGATGATCTGGTAAAGACTTGCATTAGAATTAACGAGTATTTCTCACTTAAGAAAACCGTAAGGAAAGCTGCAGCGAGGAACGTAGTCTGCGATGTAAAGACGTACAGACCAAGGTTCAATTCAGGTAAGTACTAATGACACTAGTGTCATTTACGTAGCCTGCGGAGTACTAGGGTTACCTCACCAGTTACCTCACAAGTAAATCTGAATTATCTCACCAGCTATCTCACCAGTAGATTCAAGCTATCTTACAAGTAAATTTGAGACATCTCACAAATAGATTCAAGTTATCTCGCAAGTAGAATCTAAGATGTCTCATAAGACTAAACCCAGTTAAACCTGAGGTATCTTACAAGTATTATGGAAGATAAACCTGAGCAAATCCAAGCACAAGTAACAAGTGAGAAGAAGAAGGACCCAAAGAGAGTAGCGGCAGGAAAACGATTAGCTGCAATCAGTAAAATAGCAAAGGAAAGGAAAAAGAAACTTGCGCAACCTAAGGAGCCATCAAGTGACAGTTTGATTACGTACATAGGAGTGGCCATTGCACTGGTATCTCTAGTGCTAGCATACAAGTCGCATCAGAGGGAAACCAGGGAACCGGAACCCAAGCACGTAACTGAGACTGTCGAGATAACTAGGAAAGCTGACGAGTCTAAGTTAGATTCACTTGAATGATACATTAAACATAATATATATTATAACAAGATGAGTAAAGAATCAAAGATGACGATGGACGTGTACAACGCAGTGCTACTTACAGCAGGAGCAGTCGGTATTTCAATGGCATCGAAGAAACTATTAAAAGAACCGTTAGGAACCCCAGAGAACGTAAAAGGAATGGCAAAGTTAGCTGTCTCAGTTAGTCTTTCATCCCTACTAGTATCTTACTTGAAAGATAAGAAGTATCTACCAGATGATCCATTCAAAACCTAGGTAAAACTATATAATGGCGTCAGCAGTAGCAGGAGGACTCTTTAACGCATTTGCATTTGCCGGAGCAGGATACCTATTTAAAATGTTTGATAAGAATGGATATGCTAAGGAAGCCCATAGACATAACATTGCAATGGAGAACCTAACAGCCGAAAGAGAGAAGTACATTGAGGAAGTCACTAATAGAAGAAACAAACTTGCACAACTAAGGTCAGAACTGATCGAGGCAAATAGGGATATTAATGCAACAAATAAATCACTGGAACTCGTTAGAAGAATCAATGAGTTAACACGTAAGGCTATGCCGAGAAGGCCGCAGTTAAGCAATCACTACAAACCTAGCTCTGAGATGGAAGAATATATGGCAATTTTCGGTTTGATTATAGGTGGGGTGGTTGGAGGGGCAGCTTATTTAATTCTATAAAAAAATACATCAATTTTCTTTTACATATATAATATAGAGAAATGGATTGGCTTGCAATGGTAGACGTTGACGAAGTGGTAGCTTTGGGAAAAAGGGTGGACACCATAGAAGAACTGGAGGCTGCAGTTAAAAAATATGTGGAATGGAGAATAATAAGGAGGCGTAAAAACAAACCACAAAAACAAGCAGAAAATTTTAACACATATAGTATAGGGAATGGACTGGCTGACACTGGTAACACTTGATGAAATGGAACGAGTCGGTAAGAACGCAAACACCATTGAGGAGTTAGAGGCTGCAGTAATGAAATACGTGAGAAACAAAATGAAGGTCAAACACACATACGAACCGGGATGTAGTGAATGTGGTAGTAAGGCTATCGTGGTGATAGATGGAGCAGATGTATGCACACGCTGCGGAACCAGTGCTATGAATAACTTCACATACTACGTTAGTTACAATCACAACAAGGACGACTACCTGAAAAAGAAGTCTTGTCATAATAGAGTCCGTTGGTTTGAAAGACACTTATTCGAGCATGTTGCTTCTGGGGATAGGGATACCATACGGGAGCAGTTTAGAAGCATCGTAAGATGTATACAAAGACTTGGACTTCAACGGGGGCGCAATATAGTTAGATATAAGTTTTACCTATTAAGGATAGCCAGCATGAACAGCGTCATGTTGAAAAACCCACCTGAGGACATTAAGACTCAAAGAATTGTGAACATCCTTGAGGACAGACTATATGGAAAGGTTTTCCCCGAGTTGGGATGGGAACCAATAAACTGCAAATATTATAATAACTGGAAATGTAGACATAAATAAAAATTAAATAAAAATTAAATTATTAAATAAAAATTAAATAAAAATAATTAAATAAAAATTATTAAATAAAAATTATTAAATAAAAATTATTAATTAAATAAAAATTAAATAGGCCTTTAAATAGGCCTATTTTTTTTTACCTATAGTATATAGAGAAAGAGTGAAAAATGGCGACAAACTTTGACATGAACAATATGACCGTTGAACAACTTATGGCGCTTAGTGAGATAATTGACGACAGCGACTATGAGGAAAGTTTTGAGGATGAAGTGGAGAGAATATCTGAGGATAAGTTCTATCGAGTTGCACCTAAGGATAAGGGCAAAGATCCCTTTGAAGGAGAAAGACAATTCATAGATGAAGGTGACCGTTCTACTGACCCAAAGAGACCAAGGAGACGTCCACTGAACGAGAAGGGTAAGAGGGGAATAATGCCGACATGGAAATATTCCGAGAGACAGAAGGCAAAGGCTTTACTAGTCGAGGAGGCATACCAGAGCTTGCTTAGTAGAGGAGTTAAAGGTCTACCACCAACAATGGGAGGCAGATGGAGAACGGATGATCCCCAGGTAAATGCGGAGATAAAGAGGTTAGAGAACATTAGGAATCCAAAGCGTCCTAGAGGCAGACCACCAAAGGCTAAGACTGACGGCGCCGCCAAGACTCCCAGAGGCAGGCCACCAAAGGTTAAGTCTGACGCTGAGGTTGTGACCCCAAAGAGACGTGGAAGACCACCAAAGGTTAAGTCTGACGCTGAGGTTGTGACCCCAAAGAGACGTGGAAGACCACCAAAGGTTAAAGTAGCTGAAACATCAAAACCTAAGGTTAAAAGACAGACTGTCGCGGAGAGGTTCATAAGTCAAAACCGAATAAAACTCTCGATTCCTGCGGATAGTGTGATAACTCAGGTGGGACCGAATAAGTTCACGGTGACTGTAGACCTTAGTAAGAAACCTACACGGAAAGCTCCTGAGGTACCGAAGGGTGTGGCTCCACGGAAACCAGTTCCTAAACCAAGAACTGTAATTCCTAGGGAAAAACCTATTCCTAAACCAAGAACTGTGATTCCTAGGGAAAGACCAGTTCCTAAGCCTAGGACTAAAAAACCAGTGCCTCCTCCAAAGTTAAGGAAGCCTGTGAAGGTGACTAAGGAAGTTGGGGAACAGCCTGTAGTGGTCGCACCAGAGGAACACGAAATTGATCCTTTTGGAACATACCTTGAAAAGCCATCCTATAGGAAAATAGAAACTGCCGCAAACGGTGCAGCTGTGACCTACTCGATAACTCCAAATTATATGGATCCCTTGGACCAGATGACCGCAAGTAGGCAGGTGGTGAGGGGAGTATTAGTGAACGAGTTGAAGAGAATGGGAGGTCTAAAATATACGGAAACCATCAAGGTAAGAATGTCGAAGGAAATTGGAAATGATAAAACAAAGAAGGATTCAATATACTTCAAATCGAAAACAGGAACTGCAACCAACTTCGAGGATATCGAAAGCACTGCAGCTCAAAACCAATTGACAATCTTATCCAGAATTGAAACCTTCCAAAACTTAGGTTCAAATTGGATTATCCTAAACATTGAAAGCCACTATGTTAATATTGCGATGTACAAACCTCTAAAGGGTAGTTCATATATGAAATTACCCGCAGACATTAGTAATCCAAAATGTGGTTTAATTAACATGAAAAACAACGACGAAAAATGTTTCATGTGGAGTCATGTTAGACATGTGAGACCAAAGGTTAGGAGAGCAACTACCATAACAAAGCAAGATGTCGAGTTCGCGGAAAACCTGGACTATGAGGGTATTGACTTCCCCGTGAAAATAAGCGACATCGATAAAATTGAGAGGAAGAATTCTATAAGCATATCAGTGTTCGGCTATAAAGGTAAAAAGCAGTTCTACCCAATCAGAAACTCTAAAACAAAATATGATGAGCATATGGAGCTGCTGCTGTTGGGTGATAACGAGGGTGGTAACCACTACGTTCTAATAAAGGATGTAAATAGAATGCTCTTCAGTGTTAGCGGAAACTCGAACAAGAAACACTTCTGCCTACACTGCCTCCATAGTTGCGTCAGCGAAGAATCATTGAAGAAACATAGTGAAACGTGTATTGAGGTAAACGGAACTCAGGCCACAAAGCTTCCAAGTGAGGGTACAAAAATAAAGTTCAAAAATCACAGAAACTCGATGCCCGCACCCTTCGTGATCTACGCCGACTTTGAGTCTATGCTGGTTCCTGAGGAGAGAAAAGTTGATTCTGAAGACACTGAGGAGAAGAGTACTACAGAACTTTACCAAACACACAAAGCTTGTAGTTTCGGGTTAAAAACAGTATGTCATTATGATGATCAGTACTCCGGTGAATATGTAAGTTACGTTGGTGAAGACGCTACAGAAGTCTTCTTGAAGACAGTTCTTAAGGAATCCATCAAGTGCCGGGAAATGGTAAATAAAATCTTCAAGAAAAAGATGATAATTACACCAGAGCAAGAAACTGAGTTCTGGATGACAAGGAACTGCTCCATATGTGGTAATGACCTGGGCGACGACAGAGTAAGAGACCACGATCATGTAACCGGACTTTACCGTGGAGCTGCTCATAATATGTGTAATCTAAAGTACAGGGTCACATGGAAAGTTCCTGTGGTCTTCCACAACCTAAGAGGTTACGATAGCCATCTAATAATGCAGGAGATTGGTAAGTTTAAGATGAACATCAACGTGGTCCCAAATAACATGGAAAAATACATTTCCTTCTCACTAGGTAAAAGTCATGTGTTCATCGATTCGATACAATTCATGGCTTCTTCCCTGGAGGCACTTGTGAGTAACCTTTCACCTGAAGACTTCAAGATAGTCGGTCAGCGGTGGCAAGGTGAGGACTTCGATCTTGTGAGACAAAAAGGTATATTCCCATATGAATACCTGGACGA